TAGTGGTCAGCTCTTCCTAAATAATAATATCCCCTTATTAAAGCCAAACTGAGCAGTGTGAAAAAAGAAAACAAAACATTGCAGTAGTCCCTCAAAGTTTCCTGCAAATATGTCACACCATATTGAACATATGGAAGAGCACGTTAAATAACATTTCTGCTGATAAAGTGAGCAATCGGTAGTAGCTGGAGGTCCATTGCTACAACGATTGCATCAAATGGCAGAAGGATGGCAAACATTTGAATGCCACACTGATGGATAACTGCTGCATGTAAGTGAGCGGAACCAGCATGAATGTCTCAGTATATTCAGAGCATGATCCCGGGCTCTAGTGGTATTCCGGTAACACATCGAGTCTGACTTGAAAAATGCCAGGCAGCACTACGTGTTTGATGAGCACACTGCATGGTTCATTACCTGCATGATATAAACCCCTCAGCTGATAAACATCCCTCTTAACACTGCTGTTCAACATTGACAAATTAACAGATTTGAGATGCGGAAAATGTGTGTCTGAATCTTGCAGCATGCATATGATTAGCTGCATGGCCAGTTTTAACATGCAGCGAAGCTGACATTTCAGGGTTATTGTAGACGTTGCTTGTTCCATCCCACAATTGATTTGTAATAACATACAAGCGATACACGGATCTCACCGAGGTAGATTTATAATGACAAAGACGCTCTCTACATCTTATCTTCACATGGAGATTTGCATATTGTGAGGTGAAACTCTGCAACTTATTCATATATTCATGAATCATATATCATAAAAAAGCTGGCTTAGCATTACCTTTAATACAAGGTAAAAACATGACATTTTGGTTCAAAGTAAAGTGTTTTCACATGGAATGCATTCCACATTTCTAAAGCAGCTTGTGCAAAAATAAATAAATAAATAAATAAAGTCTCTACAATTGTGTTATAGTGCATTTGCTGATTCTGTCAAAATCAAGATCAAGGCTTTCTTGAAAAAAAAAAAAAAAAACCTGGCATACAATTTTAACTTTAAATACTCATGGGAGGTGTTAGACACCCCAAGGGTAGAAATACGCCTTGGTTTTAGTGCAGTAATGGGGCAGAAATTAATCTGAAGACATACCAGAGTGCTCGGAGGGGTCAGCAGGTGTTGGAGGACAACATCATGGCTGGGCAGAACAGGTGGTGGGTCTGCGTAGGTGGAATCCAATTTGGCACAGAGACCTGGAGCAGAGATTAAAGGGTGAAAGCAAGAGGACACTGTCAGCTTGACAGCAAGGACTGTTGCACATGAGTCACAGCTAAACTTCAGATGAGAGGAAAGGAATGAACAGAACCAACGAGTTTGGCAAACATTTGCTTAGATAAATACTGAACAGTAAGCAATCTACTTGATTTCTGCCAGAAAAAACAAGTAAACAGCTAACAAATTGGTATGTTGGATTTGAAATGCATAACAGTGAGCTGTATATATATATTTATAAATGGACACAATCTATAATCTGATAATCTATTAAGGCTGTATACGGTTACCATCCTCAAACTGGTCTGGGATGCAATCAACCATGACAAGACAATGCAAAAGATATTAAAATTGGAAACATTGGTGCATTGAGCAGCCTGTTCTGATGACGCAAGCATTGCATCTATAGAAGCTGAGAAGGCCATTTATTGTGTTCTTTTTGAAGAATTTTCAAAGCCACATGAAGTCATTACAAATATGTGTTTAATACTGCAAAATAAGCTCAATGTTACAGTCACTCCATCCAGAATATAAGAAAACATCTCAATCAAGTGAAGGGATTTGTGGAGAGTGTGGTTCCTATTTTCTGTGATCCAGCATTTACCACTTTTCAAAATGAATAGACAATCTATTCAGGTGAAGGACAATCCACTTACCTCTGAGACTGTTATGATTTATATTACTTTATTACTTTTGTGGGGAGTCAACGGATCGTTCCAGAACCGAACAAGCCACAGACCATGTTATCCTTAAAAGATTGGTTGGTGCCTACGAGTCTGAGATTGATTTCATTTTCAAAGCAATCCACAGGCACCCAGCAAAAGGCAAATCCACAGGATACCTAGCCAGTCAACATCACAGTTGCGTGTTAATTAACTTTACACCCTAAAACAATAAGAGGCTCTACAATCAAAAACCCACCAAACCGGTTTTTGAGAAGTACCTTTTGGTTCGCTTGTCCTTTGGCGTCTGCAAGGAATACACATTCTCAGGCAGACACAGAAGCGATCAGAAACGCTTCCAGAGTTTAATGGACATTTAAGTAAAACAGTTTATTTGAGTAATGTACGTTTGCTTTATGTTTCTGTAGGTTTTTGTGTGTACATGTTCCATTTGTTTAACAAAACTGTTATGATAGTTATTGAGTAATAGCCCTCAGTGACAAATGAAATCTACAGAATGTTTGTGAAATACTTCATGTTTGGTATCGATTGAAAGCTAGGAACATTTTAAATGCATTGGTTTATATGAAGAAACCATACTATGAAAAGTGTTGACGTTATAAGACTTTATTTTAACCACTATGCTATCAAAGCAGCACCCACACCAGGTGTCAACCCGGCCTCCTAGAGGGCAGAATTGGGGTGTGACTCCACCCCGCACCTTATCTGATTGGACAAGTATTGTGTAGACCCAGCCTCTACCAAAGCCTATAAAACTTTGAACAAAGGAATTTCATCGTCGTCTTTTGCCGGTCATCTTTGCCAGTCGTCACCGCCGTCGCTGCCCGGACGTCGCTCTTCTCGTGCTGTGGCCGTTACATCGCCTCGCCGGAAGCCTCGTTACATCACGGAGCAGACCGCGACCTTCACTTGCTGCCGGCTCGACCCCCGATCTGCTTGTGCAACCGCTTCAACAACAAGCCATCGGGTCAACACATCCAAACTCTGAAACTCATCATAACTACAGGAACCCAGGAAGGACTTCGAACGCCGCTTTGTCCAACATCTGTATCCCTAGCAACCGACTAAGGAAACCCCTCTTCACCGACAAGGGAATTCCATCACGTCACTGAAGTTGCTACGCTGACCAATCAGCTTCGCCGGGATTTCCCTTTGGACCAGTCGAGGAAACCAAAAATTACATCAGAACGCAAGTAGCACAAACGAGGTTTCTATCCATTGCTGACACTGGTGTGAATTATGTTTAAGTAGTAAAGAATAGCAAGATTCTCTGCTTTTATGGTTTCTCTCAGGTTACAATGCTAAGAACTTAGCAAAGGCTAGAAGTTGAATCCACTCAGTCAAAACTCTCCTCAAACTGCCTGTGCGTGTGTGTATGTATGTGCATTTGTTTGTTTTACGTAGATTAGTACTTTGTGTTATAGAGTAGCAATAAACTTTTGTTTCGTTTTAAGATCCGTGTTGGTGTGTTGTGTGCTTTATAAGTTAATGCCTCAGCTTCAGATACTGCTACCTTGCTCATTAAATAATTAGATACTGTTTTTATATTGTTATTGTTGGCCACGTAATAATATAATACAGAATTGCTTTACACTAAACGTTCTATTTGCTGGACAAATACTAAAGTTAAGTGTAAGCTTTAAATAATTCTATGTGAATCATGTTCGAATCTTTGATTCGAATCCCCAAAGTTTAAACATGATTTAAACCAAAGAGCTGATTCTTACATAGTGGTGGAGAATGCGGGCAAGCAGATCTAACTTTTAAAGCACAAAACCCAGAAATCACGTTGTTAATCTTTTCTATTTTTGTCCGGAAAGAATAGATTAGAGGGAACAAAAGTTTTGCTACTGCACAATTTCATTGTGGTACCAGTTGTTTTATTGCTTGACTGCATTTAGTGTTGTTAAGAAAGTAAAACTTCATTTAAGTTGTCCGCCGAGACAAACTGTAAGACGCTCTAAAGCGCATGTAGAGAAAGACAAAGCGTATTCCTTTGTGCTTATCTCATAACGTTATATAAGGCCTTCACAGTATGATTTCGTACGCCGCGATTCCCGGATGGAAACTCAGCTGTGTTTTCTCCTGGTAACTGATTTAGCATAGCTAACTAAATTCTTGTTGCCCTGTAATTTGCTAATACTTAGTAAATTATTTAAAACGCGGAGCTCAGAGAGAGCTGACTAGCGTAGTTTATAGGAGAAGTTTTGAAATTGATCAATTGAAATTGTGGTTTGAATCCACGGATGTGTTTGCAGTCTACACAGACTTAACACAGAGTGCTGAGATCCCCCATATCTCTGTCACGATTTGTATTAATCTCAGAAATCCTGTTGATTAATTTTGTCTCACTTTCATAAGTTGAGAATCATTCAGTACTGTTAAGATATAAAATCTAACTAGTGCTTTTTGCTTGAACAGTGTGAGATGCGCCGTCATCTCAAGTGATACTGTGAAATTTGCTATTATTCCACTTTGTGGTCGTTGCCATAGCAGCAACCCTGGTCCGGAAGTACAGAGAGACTTGCCGGAATTACATTCAAGCGCGCATGTGCAGTCCGCCAGCGCCAGCTTGAATTGTAAACAAAGAGCATAGCGTGAAGCTAAGCTAAACTAACGCTAACGCGTTTGCATTAAAGTTTATGCATTTCCAGTAGCAGCGAAGGCTAATAGATAGCACGTAGCATTTAGTGGTCTTAAATGCATTGCATGGCTGATGCTTGAAATAACTCTTGCATCTCAGTTGTTTCTCTTTACTCACCTGGAAAAGTTGACGAATGCAAAGTTAATAAAAGTGTGCACGATCTAACTGCTGAGTTTAATCACTACTATTTTATTTTATTTTTGTTTTTCCTGCTGTACCTGGCCTGTTGAATTTGATCAGTTTGAACTCACATAAGCTGTTGGTTTTATTAGTGATGAATTATAGTTTTGTTTTCATGACTATAAATTAATGCTCTCTGACTTATTCAAGTATAAATACTTTTTCCATTCATCAACATCTAGGAACACCCATTTCCTATGACTGTTGATTTATACGGATAAGACTCCTTGATTATATTAATTATGATTGTTTAATTTGATGATAAACTGCATTAAATGTTACTCTAACCAACTTCATTGTTTTGAAATTTTAATTTCATTAATGGTTCATTTATGCATGGCTCTATCATTTTAATAACAATTATTAATTTAATTTAGTCATAAGTGTTCTTATCAATCTTAATGATAATTTATAAAAGTTATTACTTCTTTACAGGTTTAAAGTTAAGTTCAATTCAAATTTGAATTTAGTCTTTTCATCTAGTGGAGCCCTCCAATTAGCCAAACTTCAAAAGGAAAATTCAGATTTTTCTACTACGTAGGCTAAGCAGTTACTATATAACACAATAAAACCAACACTTCTTGTAGTGTCAACTCGACAGCGCCACCGCTTTGACATCCTTAAATACACCTAATGCTAAGAGAAAACTAACTCCTTTGTTCTCTCTTTCTACTAGTTATCTTCTTTTAACTAGACTAATGATGCTGGTTTAAGGATTGTGCTTGTGAGAGTCAAAAAGCAGAGAATTTTAGAAACATTTAATAGATGTTTGGGACACTTGAACACTTTTAATTGTTAAAATTGTCTGATCTCACCCCTCCTTTCTCACTCATCAGGTCACCAAGAAGATAGGCGTCGTTAGATCCAATTCTAAACACGCATCCAGAAACAATTTATTTGGTGTACGGAGTCAATCCTATTCAGAAGCCAATACTGTTATTGTTGTCCTACTTTCTGTCACTTCAGAAGAAAGTTAATATCAACTTCAGTCCTGGTATTTAGAAATCTTATTTTTATATTTAACAAAAGCTAAAGGAACCTTCTCTCTAGGAAAGTGGAAACTACAGATTTTCACCCTACTCCTTGGTCTCCCTATCACTTTTGTTTTTCTTTGTTCTCTCACTGTGTCTGTGCTACTGACTCTTTCCACAGAGACTACCAGTTAGACACGCGTACCCACCAGAGGGCCACAGTTCCAGAGAACCACACTTCACTCAACATTAGAACACACTTAACATTGCACATTAACATTTCTCCTTTTCTGTTTGCATTGTTCTACCTTCTTTTTCTTTTCTTTCTCCTCTCTATCTCTCTTCAAGGTCTGTGTCAGTTAAAATCCTAAGTCCTCCCCCCGCCGCAAAACATGGCTCACTCCAAAGATCCTGTTGGCCACTGGAAGGACCTGGAAACGTGGCTGAGCGTTGTAACAGGCAGTCTCCTCCCTAAAGCTGCCGAAACACTGCAGCCCCTGACGCAAAACCAATTGGATGAGAACATAGACAGCATCATGAAGCAAGACCCAAGTCAAAGCTTCAACCACAAGGAGCTGGCCAAAATCACTGGTACTTTGAGTCACACACTCATAGCCACCCTCAAATTGAGTGACAGACATGCCTCCCAACTCCAACACAAGCTGACACGCCTGCAAGCCCGCATCGAGCAGCTAGAGCTAGAGGCTCAGGAACGTCTGGAACAACCAAGTGAGGTGGATGAAGGTACCACAGAGGAGATCAACAAACTACAAGAAGCCCTAACAGCCATCACAGAAGAAAGAGAACAAGCCAGAGCAGACCACGCTGACGTCGCTAACAAGCTAGATTACGCTGAACAGCTACTGAAGGAAGCGAAGGTGGACTTAAGAGACAAAAAGGCCAGAATCAAAGCCCTTGAAACTCACCTGAGCGAAGCAAGACATGAGATCGACAGACTAATGCAGGAAGTGGATGACATCAAAGAGGAGTCCGCCAGTGAACTCAGGCATGCCTATGCACTGCGCTATGAACCTCCAAAGACAAGATGTGCACCAGCCTCGCCCCTGCCAAGCAGGATAGGATCCCCTGTCCCTGAGCTCTCACCTATTGAAAGATGTGAGAAACCATGCCGAAGATCTTCACCAGCACCTTCTGAAGAGCCTTACCTTACCCCACAGCGACGAGAACCTGTGATAGCCAGTCACAGATCGTCATACAGTCTGGACCTTAAAGACCTTGACAAGCTGGCCAGAAACATTGGCAAGTTTACTCCAAGTGTGTCAGGTGGTCTGGAGGTCCACACTTATTTGCAAGACATTGATTTCCATCTGGAAATGAGACCTAATGTCTCTAATAAAGAAAGACTGTATTTGCTTCGAGCCACATCCAGCACTGAGGTGCGCAGCTTCCTGGACCGACAACCGGCTCGGGTAAAGAATGATTATCGCTTGCTCCAAGAAGCCCTCATCAGAGAGTTTGCAAACCCTGAATCAGATCAAGGACTGTTAGGTGCTCTGGAGACAAAACAAGCTCGCAACGAGTCCCCACATGCTTACTACAACCGACTCAGGCAAGCCTTTTTCGGAACTCGCAACGAACCGAATATGGAAGAAGACCTGAACTTTAAGATTCTCTTCCTGAGAAACCTCCATCCTGCAGTAAGCCAACATCTCGGAGTACTCGCATGCCCACGAACAATGAGCATCCAGCAATTGCGAGATTTGACACAGAAAGCCCACGACAAACAAAAGATGGTGTTAGAGAAGAACACTAAAACTGCAAAAGTTCTTGACTTTAACACCCAGAATCCAGAACTGGCACTAGAGGGTGCCCAACGCCCAAACAGCGTGAGACCACTATCCCCAGCGTGGAATGCGTCTCCGTCCAATAGACAACGGAACTCCTATGCTGACACAAGATTCAAACAGAGGAACAGTCACTGGGATGGACCGCGTGGACAACGACGCTCACCTGAACACCACCGGGAAAGAAACCAATGGGGGTCGAACAAAAACTGGTCACCATCCAAGGGAAGACATCAAAAACCTGGATCATCAAGTCCAAGGAGTCAACGAAGGTACTCCAAAAACTTCCACCCTGACAACGCTCAGAATCAATCCCAGCAAGAGGAAAATGCCCCACCGGGATTTGACCCTCAAGAACTGGTAAAATTGATGATGAAAGAGTTTCTCAAATGCATAGAGGAGGACAGGAAACGGGAAAAGGAAAAAGCAGATTCAGCCTGACTAGTCGCCGAGCGGAGAAGCAACAACCGCCTGAACCAACAAACACTTGCAGGTGAAAGCCCTCAGGCTCCCAAAAGTGCCGTTCGGGTCGTCTGCCACTTCTCCGACAAACCTCAGTTCAGTCCTAAACTCTTCCTGACCCATGCCAAACTCCGCTACCTCCGTTACTGGATGAACATTTGACAGCTCTATCATCACTGAACAACAAATGGGGGAGGACCACAACTTGACACAGATCAACTGTTCTACCCTCTACATACTAACATATCCTTTGACATTCTAGGGAACACCTAGTTAAACACAACACTAATACTTTCTCCTCTACAGCACTGCTAGAACAACCTCTAGTAAGAGAGGAGCCACTTCACATATGCAACACTGTTATTGCTGGTTTTTAACCTACCTTGTTTTTTTGCATCCCTGTACCTCTTGATTTCCTTCTTTCTCTCTCTCTCCCTAACTGATTTGCAGTTCCAGTCCCCTCTACAGGGAACTCCTGCAAATTCATGCATAGGGCCTAAAAGTAGAATTGACTCCTTCTCCCAAATTAGTGTCAATTGCTGCAGAATTATTGCTTATTTAAGTTGAAGCTAGCGCCACTCCATACTTGCAATGAAGTAAACTAGCTAAATAACTAAATTTGAATTATTTCAGGCAATGTTACACTACACCTTGTGTTCTTAACCCGAACAATTTAAGCTAAAACCTGCACCAGAACTCAGTCTATGGAATGGAAATGTGGTTTGTGTCTTGTGTGTCTGTTCTCTCTCTACCTATGCCTCTTGTTCCAGTGTCTGCCGATGTTCATGCCAGGAACATCACCATCCAAATGGGGGATGTGGGGAGTCAACGGATCGTTCCAGAACCGAACAAGCCACAGACCATGTTATCCTTAAAAGATTGGTTGGTGCCTACGAGTCTGAGATTGATTTCATTTTCAAAGCAATCCACAGGCACCCAGCAAAAGGCAAATCCACAGGATACCTAGCCAGTCAACATCACAGTTGCGTGTTAATTAACTTTACACCCTAAAACAATAAGAGGCTCTACAATCAAAAACCCACCAAACCGGTTTTTGAGAAGTACCTTTTGGTTCGCTTGTCCTTTGGCGTCTGCAAGGAATACACATTCTCAGGCAGACACAGAAGCGATCAGAAACGCTTCCAGAGTTTAATGGACATTTAAGTAAAACAGTTTATTTGAGTAATGTACGTTTGCTTTATGTTTCTGTAGGTTTTTGTGTGTACATGTTCCATTTGTTTAACAAAACTGTTATGATAGTTATTGAGTAATAGCCCTCAGTGACAAATGAAATCTACAGAATGTTTGTGAAATACTTCATGTTTGGTATCGATTGAAAGCTAGGAACATTTTAAATGCATTGGTTTATATGAAGAAACCATACTATGAAAAGTGTTGACGTTATAAGACTTTATTTTAACCACTATGCTATCAAAGCAGCACCCACACCAGGTGTCAACCCGGCCTCCTAGAGGGCAGAATTGGGGTGTGACTCCACCCCGCACCTTATCTGATTGGACAAGTATTGTGTAGACCCAGCCTCTACCAAAGCCTATAAAACTTTGAACAAAGGAATTTCATCGTCGTCTTTTGCCGGTCATCTTTGCCAGTCGTCACCGCCGTCGCTGCCCGGACGTCGCTCTTCTCGTGCTGTGGCCGTTACATCGCCTCGCCGGAAGCCTCGTTACATCACGGAGCAGACCGCGACCTTCACTTGCTGCCGGCTCGACCCCCGATCTGCTTGTGCAACCGCTTCAACAACAAGCCATCGGGTCAACACATCCAAACTCTGAAACTCATCATAACTACAGGAACCCAGGAAGGACTTCGAACGCCGCTTTGTCCAACATCTGTATCCCTAGCAACCGACTAAGGAAACCCCTCTTCACCGACAAGGGAATTCCATCACGTCACTGAAGTTGCTACGCTGACCAATCAGCTTCGCCGGGATTTCCCTTTGGACCAGTCGAGGAAACCAAAAATTACATCAGAACGCAAGTAGCACAAACGAGGTTTCTATCCATTGCTGACACTGGTGTGAATTATGTTTAAGTAGTAAAGAATAGCAAGATTCTCTGCTTTTATGGTTTCTCTCAGGTTACAATGCTAAGAACTTAGCAAAGGCTAGAAGTTGAATCCACTCAGTCAAAACTCTCCTCAAACTGCCTGTGCGTGTGTGTATGTATGTGCATTTGTTTGTTTTACGTAGATTAGTACTTTGTGTTATAGAGTAGCAATAAACTTTTGTTTCGTTTTAAGATCCGTGTTGGTGTGTTGTGTGCTTTATAAGTTAATGCCTCAGCTTCAGATACTGCTACCTTGCTCATTAAATAATTAGATACTGTTTTTATATTGTTATTGTTGGCCACGTAATAATATAATACAGAATTGCTTTACACTAAACGTTCTATTTGCTGGACAAATACTAAAGTTAAGTGTAAGCTTTAAATAATTCTATGTGAATCATGTTCGAATCTTTGATTCGAATCCCCAAAGTTTAAACATGATTTAAACCAAAGAGCTGATTCTTACACTTTTATTATGAGTATTTGGCTTTTCATTAGTGCTGATCACTGTTGTTGTGATATGATGTTGTAATATTTACCATTATACAACCAGGGGATTATAGAAAGGTTTATGAGTGTGTCACTTCACAGTACTATAACAAAATGAATACATTTTAAATTTATTGTATGTCACATTAATTAATGTAAATAACTGTGCAAACCAGATACATGTTCTTGTGAAATTATTTTGATGTTAACTACATTTACTTACTTGAATCTCAGCATTAATACCGTGTGGTTTACATACAGTATACATTGCTGCTGATTGGGTTGATATTATTGAAACCAACCAAACAAGGGAAAACCTATTTGTTGCACTCCATTTCCAGGAAACTTATTGTTAATGGTGGAAACCATAGTAAAATCTTCCTTCAATGATGCAGCATTTTGTAAAAAAAAAACAAAAAAAAAACATAAGTATGATATAAAACAAACATGTACAGTAGTGTTTTATATACCTACCTAACATTCAATGGTTTAAATCAATTTTAAATTCCAATGTCTGGCACTGTGATGCATATATTGCAAAACAAACTCCAGAAGGCACCAGCAATTCCTCCTCTAGAGCCTGCTCGACTGCTCTAATACTACTGCTGTTTCAGAAAACGTCATGATTTCTTTCAACATTGGAAACTGATTGTCCTAGCCTTCAGCTACTGGAGCTGACTGATCAACATGTCCTAATCAATGTGTTTATTTGTTTGCTTGCTTGCTGTGAATAGCATTTTCCTTCTTTCCTTACTTGTACAATACATTGAAACATCGTGCATTGAGTAGGCTATGCCACACAAAACTACACAAATTAATTTTTTTTATTTTGAATTTAAAGTAATAGTTCATTTAACAATTAAAACACTGTCATCATGTTGGACAACTTAGAATCAAGTCGGAACGAACTCATCAAATCTGAGAGATAAGTTTGTTTAAGCCAAAAGAGGCCATGGTAAAAGTGGACATCAAGGTGCACATTACAGAAAAATGTTTTTCCACCATTTATAGGCTTTACACTGATGTATACATTACAATTTTGAATTTAAAACAATTTAATAGTTGCAAAACTATAATTAAGAAACAAATATTTTTTTGATAACTGGAAATGAATATTTGAAGCAGTTTACAATATGCTGATGCCCTGTTTTTCTAGGCTTTATTGGTGACAATGGTCAGAAATGTTGGACCATTATAGCCTTTTTAGCGTATACTGTAGTAGAGGACAGACACTAACTAGACTGAAGGGTCAATTGCGGAGCAGGCTATATTTAAAAAAAAAAAAAGTTTTATTTTTCTTTTATACTTGCCATAATATATATATATTCGAAGAGCAACCCATGTTCTTTTGTCATTAACATATGAATTTAATTTACTTTAATAGGTAGAACTATGAACAAAAGCTAGTGATGCATTCGAGTTTGACTTACAAAAAAATCTTGAATGGTTATAAAAATACTTAGAATCATTAAAATACTTTATATAGTTATAATTTTTTTAAAAATATTAAATGATATGACTTATTTCTGGAAGCTTCCTACTGCTATGTTTATCTGTGTAATTTATTTTACGGTCAGTTTATTTTGACCGCCCCGTTTCAAAGAATATCACAGTGAACGCGTCAAGTATAAAAGCCTTGTCCGTTATGTCAGGTGCGCTCGCAGTCAGCGGAGTTCCATGACGCGGTACCCGGCGAAAGTAAAAATCAGGCTTTAGGAGAGCGGTTTAGGGGCATGACTCAATTTAAAAATCCACCTTCCACTTTTTTGAAAATACATAAAATACTGTAGTTACATTTCCTTGTGAGATCAAAAAAAAAAAAAAATACTATTGAAGTCAAGGGCTACGGATTTCCAACATTCTTAAGAATGTCTAATTTTGCTTTCAACAAAAGGATTAAATTCAATCCAATATGAAATGAATATTTATTTTATCTTTTTAAGCAAACATTTAATTCAATCTTTCTGCTAGATGGCAGGGCTCCGACCAGAATAAAGGATCCATTTCATAATATGTAATATAAAAGAAACAAAAAGAGTGTAGAATATCCAACTACTGGCAATCAATATCAAGATCTGATGTAATCTTGAACATATTTCTGAAGGTTTAGTGTTGACTGGCAAGCAGAGCTGGCATCTTGTCTAGTGCCACCCCCTCCTCTAAATGTGCCGTATCCTCACCGTTTGACTGACAACATTCACCTTGCCAAAGGATAAGAGTGCTAAACTTCACAAAACAGCTGTCATAGGAGCACAAATTCTTAAATCATGAAAAAAATCCAGATTTCCATGATTATTTTCTACCTCTTTTAATCATCTCATTATTTTTGTTAAGGAATAAACAGCAGCTTGAGTGTGTAAACATAATGAAGATTTTCAGTGCTTTCATTTGTTTTAGAGTTATATTTTTACTAGACTGTAAGCATTATGTTAAACCCTCAGAGCAAGCATTGGAGATTTCGCTTGAGTTATTATCTAGCTATCTGATCAGCTGTGCATTATTCACATTATGAATGCTAAATGTACAAATTTCACACTGATACAGTTACAGTGTGCATGAAAGCATGGATGATTCAAGATATTAAAACTGGGCTATGAGAAAAAGCAGTTAGAAATAGAAGTTATGTTTTCAAGTCAGGTGTTTTAATATGCGCCTTTTAGGGGTACTCTATGATTTCAGTGAAGTGGGAAATCGTGGACAGAGTCATAAAGTGAAAAGTCCAAGAATGTTATTTGGACAAATAAATCAAAACTAGGGCTGTGCATCTATATTGCAATAATGTCTAGAAATATTAAAATACAAAAACTACTATTTAAACTCAAAAGGTTCTATTTTAAGGATCTAGGTCCAAAGTCTAAAGCACATGGCGTAAAAACATCAAGAGAGTGGTCTGAATCCACTTTTGCTATTTAATGGATGGAAAAATAAGGTTTGCAGCACAGCACATGTTAAACAGGGTTGTGCTTATTCTCTTAATGAGTTATGGGTGTGTTTTGAGCATAATGTGCATTAAACCAATCAGAGTCTCATCTCACATTCCCTTTAAGAGTCAGTTGCATCGCACCATGCTGCTATTTACATGCCAGACTTTATAGAGGGAAAAAACTGAATGCTTTACTAGGGAGAGAACAGTTAAACAGACCATCTGCAGTGGGAGAATAAAGAATGAGCCTTCTCCAATCAGCCCCTTTCTCTTAATTTTACTTTTACTCTTTACTTTACTCCTTTACTTTCGTGGATAAGAAAATTGTGTTTTTTCACGCACTCCATTGAAGACATCTATTAGCCTACATATTTAATACTGTTTTGTTAAGCGCAAATATTTGTCTTTAAAACTGTTTCTAAATTCAGTTCAAATTTCCAGCAAATGAATAA